GCCTTGCATTCTGCGTACGCCTTCTCTAGGCATTCTTGTGCACATCCATGGGGTGTGATAGGTGATGTACCATCCTCCTTGGTCGCATCACGGCACTTCTCTCTCGACCCTCAACATGGCCCGACGGGCGACATATGTATGTCGCCACCACTTGTCCACTATGTAGGCGTCACAACCTACTCTCTACTAGTATGTTTGTGACACATTGCACGCATGTGTTTTTTTTAATATTCAAAATGTTGAATAAAATGATTAAATATTATTCCGTTTAATTATTTTTAAAAATTAAGTAGGATTAATTTTATATATTCTTATCATGTAGTTTTATTTTGTAAATCATAAAAAATAAAAGATAATACAATTTTATTTAGTTGGTTGAATACTTTCATGAGAAAGTATATTATTAGTTATGTGTGTATTTTTTTAATTTAGTCTTCGTTAATTAAAAAGTTTCAATTTATTTTTTTACGTTTTACATTTTCTAATTTATTCTCTTGTAAGTTAAATTTGAGTAATGATAAATTTACATGAATTGATGAAATTTTGGAGGAGGAAAAAAAATATAATTTTAGACGTTAAAGTCTCTAATTCCTCCCCAAAAATTTTAATAACTCTAGAAATTTAAAATTTTCATCTCTTAAATAATATATTTTCTTATATAACTTTTTGTCGACTCACTAAATATTTGGTCCGGTAAGTTTATACTTAGTCAATTTTAACCTTTATTGATAGTAAGAGACTAACTTAAAAATTTTATTGAGATCGGAGATATGCATTAAAAGTTAGATATCTATTATAAACTTTTTAAAAATATAGAAACTGCAACATTGAAACTTTAGTGGCGAGAGACTGATTTAATTACAAAAAAAAGTTCAAGATTCCACCATTCATGTTTTTTTTTTTTTTTTAGGGGATGAAAATGGATATTAGAAAAATCATAGCATTTTGAAAATGGAAACTCATTGAAATAATAAGAACATAACTAAAAAATATAATTAAACCTTAATGAACTTTTAATGGCCATTATCACAAATAGAAACACAAATCCATCCATATCATAAACATAAACACATAGCAAAGCAATAAGAAACAAAATTAAACATTTTTAGGCCTCACTTCAATCGGATGGGTAGTTGTAAGGAGGAACTTCCTCCACCTTGAAGGAAAAACTAATACTACTTGCAGGTGGGGTTAATTTGGTAATTTCAACTTCCATCCATCCATATGGTCTTTCTTCAAAACCTTTCACCATTCCTTGGACTGGATTTAAGGCTACAAACTGCGGTGGCATTTTCATATGAATTCCACGTCTCGGGTACAAGCATAATCGAATCGGGTTTTCAAAGATAGATGCGGATTCAAAGGATTTGAACTTGAACACCAAGTAGACTGCATACGTAGTTCCCAATGTCAGTGTTGTACAGAATCACGGTAGAGTAGATAAAAGAGATCCTTCTTCGATAGAGCCGTGAAGACCAACCACGAAGGCACCTTCGAAGACCTTCCAATCCACCGGAAGAAAGTTTAGCCACACAACGTCGCTATTAACGCCTGATCGGCAACTCCGACAAACAGCTGCCAATCGGCAAACCTCCTCCGTCGGAGGGACTCTCGGGTTTACCGCTGTCGTATCCGTCGCTCGTGGCTGCCGCCGGCAATTGTCGATCAGCAAATTTTTCTTCCTTTTTCACTCTTTTCCCCCACCAAATGATTCTCGTCTCTTTTTAATTTAGAATTTGAATTTTTTTTCAAAATCTTACCAATCTTTATTTATTGATTTTCTTTTTTTTCCTCAGGGATTGCCGTTATCTTTCTTTAAAGTTCAAGATTTTGATCAAATCTGACAAAATTTCAAAATTCATATCTCCATTAAAGCCTCTATACTAAAAATTTCAAATTTCATTTCAAATTCAAGATTTCTAAAAATAAATTTAATTGATTAAATATTAAAGTAATTATTTTTTGAAAAAAAAAAAGACTCTCTGTTTTNTTTGGTATAAAACTTAGAGCTTTTTCCCTATGAATATCTACTACTTTTGCCTTTCTTTCTTTGTTTTTTTTAGTTCATTTCCTTTTTCCTAATCTTATTTGTTAAATGCTTTTTTTTTCTTTTTTTCCTTAAATTTTCAATTATAGTTGTTGAGTATATATTTATCTTTTTATTTTGATTCTACTTTTTCCTAACGTCAATTTTAATTCTTTGAAATAATAATTTGATAATTTTTTTAATATTTAAAAATCAAGTTTATTTTAGTTAATAATTTCTCAAAACTCTAGCCAAGCTTTTTAATTTGAAGTCTCTACGTTGACAATCATAGTTTAACTACTTAAGGAAACTTCTTTAAAACCTGTAATTTCCAATTTTCAAATTTATTTGTGAAAGAGTTTTTGTAGATTTAAAAATTAAGAAATTACTATTTAACGAACTTATTTTTTAAGAATTCCAAAAACAATAAGACAATCATACAATTTTTTAAAAGTTTTAATTGATGTTTAAAATATTTCAATAATACTTATCTTTAATGATTAATTGTCTAATATGTTTTTAAACCTTCAATTTTGTTTGTGTTTAATAATCATGTGAAATCTTTTATATTTTTTTTATTCACAAATATATTAGACACAAAAGTCAATTTTATATTTACTATGTTGGTTAATTTTAAAAAATGTCAAATGAGTCAAAAGACCTAATAGACGACGTAAAAATGAAAGTTCAAATGTTTTTAAAATTTAATAACTTATTAAACACAAAATTAAAATTTTAATAATCTATTAAATATTTTAAAATTTATTAGAACAATTCTAAGATTAAAAATACTAAACTTGTAGTGAAATATATTTTTTAATAACATTTATAAAAATATTGTATTTTATAAAAGTAATTATCAACATATCTGAAAATCATGATATTTTATGGTATAAATTCCAAATTTTGACTTTTTAGATAAGGCAAGTTGTGATCTAATTTATGCAATTAAGAAGATCAAAAGTCTTTATTTTTTTATCAATTTTTAAAAATGAAAATTTATGCCAAAGCGAGCATAGCTCAGCGGTAATTGGCATATACCTCCAACATTTATTAATTCTATAGAGAATTAATATTTTTGCTATTAACGTGAATAGTATTTAGTTTTTACTTTTTCTCAGGAAAAAAAACCTTCAAAGTTTTTTTTTTAATTAAAACCCAAAAACCCATATTCTGTTTTTTACACATTTTATAATTTCTTAAAATATGATTAAAAAATAAGCCCTTCCCGTTTAAGAAAGAATTTGATTGGAAACAAAATATTGTTTTTTTTTTGTGTGTTTTATAAGCATCCAATTTTAACATATTCTTGAATAATGAGAGATTAGACCAAATTGAAAACAAAATTATATACTTAGGTAGAGAGATAGTTAATCAAATTTTTTATTTTTCATTCGAAACTATCTATACAGTCTATTCTCCTCCATACAATAAAATTTGTTTGCATTTCATATCAACATCAATAATTTGTTTCGAAAGACCAGCATCATAGTTCAATTTTCCTCGAGATTAGAGGTTCGATCCCCAACATAGTAAAGTCGTATCATGTTTGTGCACCTGCTTCGTTGAGTGCAACGTTCTTGAAGTTCCTCCTCTTAACACTATTAAATATTTGACAATTAAAAAAGAGAGATTATATAGAATATTATATAGTTTCCATATTGACAAGTTTTTTCCATATTAGAATATTATACCTAAGCAAATCAATAAATGACATAAATTTGAGTTAACACAAGATATTTAAAATCATGTCAGATAAATACTCAGCATCAATTACGTAAAATAGTCAAATTTAGATACTAAGTACATAAGCAAATCAATAAATGACATAAATTTGCAGTTACGTAAAATAGTCGAATTTAGATACTAAGTACATAAGCAAATCAATAAATGACATAAATTTGAGTTAACACAAGATATTTAAAATCATGTCAAATAAATACTCAGCATCAGTTACGTAAAATAGTCGAATTTAGATACTAACTCGAGCACATAGCTCAATAGTTAAAGATATTTTTACTTCCACCAAAGAATCCTAATAGTAAGTTCCAAGTTCCAACCCACATTTGAGATTGGAATTTAACATCGATTGAAATGAGCTTGAAAGCGATCTCAATTCAATCTAATCTTCCAACTTCCAGTCAGACAATCATGTACACAAAATAAAACCTATATTTCTTCCTAAGAGAGGCAGAAGACACAACAGAATCACTCTGTAACTTGAAAACTATCATTTTCATCATCATCAACTCCATGGAAGAATGGATCAAGAAGAAGCTCCGCCGCGGACGGCCGTCTCCTCGGCTGCCCAATGCACTTGTCAATGAACCTCTTCACTTCACCATCTGCAACTTTCTGCATCGCCGCCGGCCGAATTCCGGCCGACACCTTCTTGTATATCTTTGCCACATTCTCACATTCAGTGTACGGAATCTCCAGAGTCACCATCTCCAGCACACACAGCCCAAACGAGTAGATGTCCACCTTCTCTGTGTAATCCTCCTCGTACAGCTCCGGCGCCATGAACTCCGGCGTCCCAATCACTGAGTGCGCCGAGTGGCTCTTCCCCACCGTTGCTGCCAGCCCCAAATCGCCGATCTTCACCTGTTAAGAACAGCATCAGGTGAAATCTATTAGCTTAATTTACGAGTGGATTTCGCATGAGAGTGGAAGGTCTTGTGTTTAGAGATATCATAAAACAAGTTTTATTCAGATGATAAGCGTGAACGTAGCTTCACGACATCCACCCTCTTCTCTGACGTTAGAGGTTCAAATCCCTACCATACTTGTTTTACTAAAAAAAAATATCTATATTGTTATTTTTTATCTAATTATTATAAATAATCACTAGTTGAATTGAGTCATATGCTAATTTCCAAAGCTCATATGAGCTTGATATTTGTTATGCTCTACCCTTTAAACTTCAAAACTTCTGCTAATTTGAAAACTATAACTATTTTGGTCTCTAAATTTTCAAATTTCTATTTTAATCCTGAACTTTAAAAAAATAACATTACATCCACCTGTTGTTTTCCATTCAAAAGACCACTCGACCCACCAACTTATGTGGCTTCAATACATGTTTCTATTATTTGTCACCGAATTTCTGTCTTCAAGAACCAATTTACGTGGCTGCAATACATGCTCACGTTAATACACATCCCCCGAAACCATACTATCTATTAGCCAAGAACCTTAGTTACTAACCAACAAACATCTATCTTCTTACTTACCGCCACTCAAAATTCGAAGAAAGCTCTTTAAATATTGAGAAACAGAGAGATAATATCTGGATACTAACAACCAGTTCTTAAATATTGTTAATTTGTCGATTCGTCAAAAGCGAAACAAAGATAAAAACGAAAATGATTAAATTGTTTGGCAAAAGTTTGAGCACTGAAATGAATTTATACCTGCCCAATGTGGCCGTTGACGAAGACATTGCTGCAATTGAGATCTCTGTGGATGATACAGGGATCGTGAGAATGCAAATAATCCAATCCCCTTAAGATCTGCCTCGCCCATTTCTTCACCGCCTTGATCGAGACCTGCCGGTGCTTTTTCCGGTACTCTCTGAGATTCCCGCTGGTGCAGACCTCTGTTATGAAATTTAGGGTTTGGTGTTCGCTGTCCCGCCACACGTCGTACAGGGCGATGATGTTGCCGTTCTGCAGCGATCGGAGAAGATGAACCTCCGAGAAGAGGCGGTCGATCATCGCCGGATCGCGGGCGAAGCTCCGGAGCTTGACCTGGTTCCACGCCACTTCGATTCCTTCTTCCTGATCGAATGCTCTGTACACTTTCTTCACCGCGCCGGCGCCGAGCAGCTCGCTGTAGCGGCCGTAGCGGCCCGTGGGATCCACCTCCACGAACGGCTCTGTCTCCGGCTCCGGCTCGGAGGAGATTGTAACCGCCGCCATCTGTGGAAGGAAACGAAAACGCCCAATTTGGGAACATTGTTAAGCCCTCTTTCAAGTTTCATTGAGAGGAGAATCTCTCTGTTTTCCAGTTCATCACACAATTCCATAAATTAGAAAATACTATTCATATACATGCCTCTGCGTTGTCTCCTATTTTAATCCCAAATTTAGAATCTATTAGATTTATTTCTTTATCATTTAAAATTTGTAACAACATATTGTGAAAAATCTCATATATAATGATTTAATTTTTTAATTATGAACATATTTGATCTGTGGTGATCTACCCATATAAGACTTTTAAACGATATGACAATACAAGTTGGTTACACATTAAAGTCTAAGGTCCGATCGCTATTTAAGCAGAACTAAAAAAAATATAATAGTTGTAACAATGATGACATTAAAATTTAAAATTTTAATTTAGAATGTAGTTTCTTCTTTTCTTTTCATATTCATTGTTTCATGAATATTAATTCTTAGATAGAAGGCTTTTTTTCTTTCTGGTTTCAAAGAACATTAGGCCCACCATGGTAGTTAATTTGAAAGTATAATTGTATCAATTTTATAGTTTTTGAGAGATTTAAGATATAAGATTTAGTGTTTTAGTTCAAATAACTTTTTCTAGAAAGAGTGGTGGTTTACGCATCTGTTTTTAGATGCAATTAAAAGGAAGGAGTCTATAAAAATATAGTTTAATTGCAATAATTAAGCACAATCTTGATGAAAGGTGAAACCCAAACTTCACTCAACAGTCAACAATCAAAATACTAGAGAGAGATTGAGAGGCGTATCTAAAAACCTAAAAAATCGCAGAGCTCAACAGACGCAGATAAAATCAAAATTCTGCATTAACAACAAACAAAAACCTTCCAATCGAATAAAAAAAAAAAATTCAGAAACCACAGAAGAATGCGCCATCCGAGATTCAAAATCCCGGCCGGATTAAATGTAGACAGAAAACGCCGAATCAGAATGAGAAATCAAATCCATGGATGATCGAAGAACCGGAACTTACCTTGAACGACCAATGGAGCGATCGAGCTTCTTTAGCTTCAATAGCGGAGAAAATCGCACCGGCGAAAAAAGGGAGAGAGAGCCAAAATCTGATTCAAGAGGAACTAAAAATCGAAGCAAGGAATTAAATTAACAGAGAAGAAATTGGAATGCGGAATCGGGAATTTATAGGAGAGACTGAGGGAGGAGAACACGGTGGCTTCTGGGATTGGCGAGTCAACTCGGTGAAGAAAACGGATTTCATGGATAATTAATTTACACTGTGATTAGGAAATTTGAAACGTTATAGGATTCCCAATTCACTTCAAACTCTTATATATATATATATATTTTTTTTTATATTTTTATATATTCCCTAAAATGTTTGGGAAATATATTTCTACAATGAAAACTAGAAGGTGTTTAATAGGCATTTATATTTTTAAGGTTAAATAACATTAAAGTTTGTAATGATTTAGTCTTCATTGTTAATATTTTTGTTAAATTTATTATATATTTAGATCAATAAAGGGATAAAAGATCAAATTTATTTATAAATTACAAAAATTAAATCGTTATATACTAAAAATTGACGCTTAATTTTGATGTGAAATTTTCGTGTTAGGGACTAAATTATTACAAATTTTAAACTATACAGACTAAATTGTTATGGAATAAATCGTTATGATTAAAAATTCAAAAGCTAAATTATTGCTTTAACGAAAGTACAAGATCAAATGTATTCTAATAGATTTAAATTAAGTTTGTATTTAAACAATTGAGGATTATGTACGAACATTAATTTTTTTTAGTACAACATGTGGGTTGAGCGATCGAACTCACAATCTCATGGATGGGAAGTATATGTCAATTACCGTTGAGTTATGTTCGATTTGACTACGAACATTAAATATAACGAAGCAAAAAAAGATCAAAAATAGAAAACTAAAAACGAAATAATTATGAGTAATTATTTTAAACCCTGACTAATAACTAATGAAATTGTTTGCACCCAAAATAATTAATACATAAATTAAGGAACTCACACAGAAAATAATTATCAACTATTTAATAAATAAATTATTAATTTTAAAAAAATAAATTTTAACATGACAAAGAAAAATAAAACTTTTAACAAATTTTATATGTAAAAAGAAGGAATAATTTAACAAATAATATTCTGACAAGCAGTTGACTTTCAAAGTTCAAAGTCAAAGATTTTCTGTTTTTAATAGACTGTTGACTGTGGAAGAATATTATATCTACAAGCAATATCCTGCTTTTAATTTATTTAAAAAAATATGAAACATTCAAATACTTATGAATTGATCCATCTAAAAGGCTTAGTTTATTTTAAAAGAATGATAATACAATAATAAAAATGAAAATTTTTATTATCTTTAGTTGTATAATTAAAATTTAAAAATGGGTGAAAACCACCTCCAGAACCACTCATCTTAATTACTTTTCAACTATATTGTAATATTTTAATTGCTTTTCAATAAAACATTTATTTGAGATAAAGGGAACTAATGTCACTTTGGGATACATGAGTGCTAAAATCTCTAGTGGCCCCTTGCAAAAGCCAAGTAGGGATTTGAGATGACCAAATTAAAACACGGCTACTTTTGGGCTTCATAGGCTAGTCTATGAGCTTCTAAATTAGCCCTTGTTAGAGTATACACAAAGGAAACTTCACCAAAGAGGAGAGCTCATGGATTTCTTGAATCCCATATTTAATGATATTTTCAATCTCACCAAAGATCATCGTGATTGGAGAGAGAGTCACGTTCGAGGATCAACTGCCTGAGATTGAGGTGAATGACTAGTTGAATGCCTTCCAAAATTGCACGAATTTTTACACGGGGTGAATAAGCAATGAGAATCTCCATTGTCAATGATGCAACAACCTCATCGTTCTCATTTCAACACAGAATTTCCACACCCATTCGTTGAAGCGAGAAATGGTAGGCAACATTGATATTTAATTTTAACCCAGCCCCGACGAGGAGGCTTCCATTTGCTATCTTTGTCAGTTCTACTACACGTTCGAGTAGCCAATTGTGTGTTATACTTATTTCGCTTCACATCTTGGAATTTCTTCCAGGTACGAGAAAATCCATGCACTCATGAAGTAAACGTCAAGGATTTTGAATTTCAATCATTCCATAAGGATCAGTAGGCCACATAAGTTGTTTTGGGGTGAAAATCGTACTGCCATGTGGAAGACAGACAAAAGTCCAACTTAGAAGGTCTTCCCTGGTGGTCGACCTGAGGAATTCTCTGCTGGCCGACGTGGAGGTTTTCCCTGAATACCGACCTGAAGGTCTTTCCTGAGGGACCTCATCAAGGTCTTCCCTAATGGCCGACCTGATGTCTTCTCTAGTGATCGATCTGAAATTCTTCCCTGAAGGCCGACTTGAAGGTCTTCCCTAAGGACTGACCTCATCAAAGTCTTCCCTAATGGCCGACCTAAAGTCCCTGAAGGCCGACATGAAGGTCTTCTCTAGTGGCCTACCTGAAGGTCGACCTGAAGATCTTCCCTAAGGACCGACTTCATCAAGGTATTTCTTGATGGGCGACCTGAAGATCTTCCCTGAGACCGACCTCATCAAGGTCTTCCTCGAAGGCCAACCTAAAGGTCTTTCCCAGTGATTGACCTGAACGTCTTCCACAATGGCCAACTTGAAGGTCTTTCCTGAAGATTATTCAAAGAATGAATGACCTTCCATACTTAGCCAGATTCCATATGACAATCGTATGAACTGGAATAGTTACTCCCGACAGACCGACCTTGGTCTCGACATGCTCAACCGTTAGTCGGATTACTTGTCAAATACCCGAACCTATAAATAGGGCACTTCACTCTTTAGATTCTAGCTCGGTCTCCATACCAAGGTCGAACTCAAAACTAACTTGAGCGTCGAAGTGCTTGTTCCCTTGTGCAAGTATTTCATTGCAAAGTGGTCTTTCAACTCATTCCAATCAGCTTACCTTGACCTCTTAAGCTGGTCACTCGTTCCTCAAGGACACTCAAGCTCTTCCAAGTCATACCTCGATTGATTTTTTGCATAAACACAATCGATTTCAAGTTCTTGTGCAGACAAAGTGTGAGAGAGGAAGATGAAAATGAATCTATCTTGAAAGCTGTTATTAAATAGTTTCGTTATCCGAAACCCAGGTAGGGTCAATGCCCAACACTTCTTGTCGCTCTTGCTGCAAAGAGAATTATGCAACTTTTATTAGTTGATGTGATTTTATTATAAAATATTATAGATTTTGTATTTAACAATAATTTATTATTAATAATTAATATCAATAAAATTGTTAAAATAGAGTTATTATTATTAAATATTATAATAATAAAACTTAATGATATTTCATATCAATGAGCGTTCTAATAAAAATTATATCAAATTGTAATTTTATTTTAATTATTTATAATTTGTTAATATTAAACAAATTCTTACAATATTTACTGACCAAACCAAGCCGTTCTGAAGCAGAACTGCGCGGACCGGTTTACTCAATTTGGTCGCTTTTTCCTTGCTCAATTTGGCTTAAATAATATATTTATAAAAGTTTTATTTTTCTTTTAACATAATTTTACATTTCAAAGTTTGAAATTTCAAAATAAAAAATGTTGGATACTCTTGATTTGGAATCTAAAAATATAATTTGAGAATAAGAGATTCAATGAATAATAAATTTGTATTATATCTCAATAATATATTTGTAAGGCAGTGATGGAATAAATGTTTAATCCAATTTAAAATATTATTAATTAACTGGTTTACCTGTTTTCATTTTAATAAAAAATAAAATGAGTTTATAATATAAAATAATATAGGTTAAAAAACACATTTTGTCTCTATACTCTCATTAAAGTAACAATTTAGTCCCTCAACTTTAGTGTCCAACAATTTAGTCCCCGTACTTTTCATAAAATAACAATTTAGTCCCTGAATTTTAACTTGTAACGATTTAGTCCCTATTGTAAATTTTTTTATTAAAATTAAGTGTCAAATTTTATCATATAACAATTTAAATTACAGGACTAAATCGTTACCAACTTTAAATTACAATGACTACATTGTTACATATTAAATTCAAGGACTAAATTGTTACCAATTTGAAAGTACAAGTGCTAAATCATTATAAACTAAAGCTCTGGGACTAAATTGTTACTTTAGCGAAATTACAAGRACTAAGAGTGTTTTTTAACCAATAATATATTTATCAAAGTATTATTATTTTTTATTTGTTATTATTTTTATGTAATGGTATATTATGAAGTTTCAAAATGTAAAATCGAGTTGGAATTCCTCAAATTTACTTGAAAAAAAAAATTGAAATCAGAAACCATTAACAAAATATTGTTTTCAATATTTTTATTTTGATCGCAAAAAAGAATTTGAGAAAACAAAACTGCTAAACAAATATTTATTGAATCTAAATTTGAAAAAAAAAACACCACAGAATTTCAAATTATTTTAAAAAAATTACAAATGTTACAAAATTAAAAAATAAATATGTCAAAGGATTGAAATTTATTTAATTAATAAAAACAAAAACAAAAACAAAAACAAAATTCACGTACATGCCCTACATTTTTAAGGGTTCAGAACATTTTAAATATGATGAATCAAAATAAAATACAAAAAAAAAAAATCGTGGATGGAAATGAGATTTGAAAGAAAAGAAAAAAGAAAAAACTTGGCAAGTAAAATTGTAATTTAAAATCTAACCTAATGATATCTTATCAAAATTTCCCATGGATTATCCGTACATCGACCTGACCTAGCCACTCTTCAATGGCGACTCTCTCTGGCAGCCATTCATGTAGAAGACACAAGCTCGCTTTTCAACACAAGAGCATAATGATGATTCTTCAGTCTCCCCATTTTTGAGGGTTAGGGTTTCTGCAACTTGGAGAAATTAGGATTTCTATTCAATTTCTTCTCTCGAATCGCCAATGGCGGCCCTTAAAGCAATATCAGATGCTCTGCAACTTGTAGATTCCAAGAGAGAGAACTTGAAGAAGGCATTCGACGACCTTCAGGGCCACTCCCACCTCCTCTCTTCCTTCTCCCTCTCTTGGTCCGACCTCGATTCCCACTTCGCTTCTATCCAGAACTCTCTCACCCAGAGATTCCACGCGCTCGAGTCTTTGGAGGCGCTAGTGATTCAAAATCAACCTCAGGAGAAGGAATTTTGTTCGTCGTTGGACCTCAAAGCGGAGGACAAGAACGGACCTGATGGGGTTGAAGGTTGCGTGTCCCCTCGGCCCGAGTTGAAACGTCTCTGCGAGGGAATGGACGGTAAGGGGCTGAGGAAATTCTTGAGTGAATTACCGAAGGATCGTGAATCAGTGAGGTATGAGCTGCCGGCTGCACTTAAGTGCGCGCCGGACCAGGAAGCTCTGGTTCTGGATGCAATGGAGGGATTCGTCAATGCCAATCCTGATTCAAAGCGCAATAACTTGAAATTGGCCAATGTGAGGAGGGGCTGTATACAACTGTTGGAAACTCTGATGGATAATCGTCCAAATGTGGGCAATCATGTAACAGAAAGGGCGAAGAAATTGGCTCTGGAATGGAAACAAAGTGTTGGCAAAGATGGGAAAGATCCATTAGATGCATTGGGGTTTTTGCATTTGGTAGCAGCTTATGGATTGACATCGGAATTCGATGCCGATGAGCTTGTTGATTATTTCACTGTCATTGCTCGGTATCGGCAAGCGACAAAGCTGTGCAAAGTCGTTGGATTGGGGGATAAAGTAACTGGTAGGTTCATTCTTTTGAAACATTGTTATATAGGAAGCAGATACAATGAGTATTTTATTTTATCACGTCGGTTACATTCCCTTAATGATCATTAGTGTGCAATTTAGTTTGGAAAATGTCAAGCCAATTTGGAAGAACTTCAGGGGTGACATAGAAAAAATATAAACTTTGAAATTAGCGTATCCTAGGAGATCCATTATGGGTGCCATATTTGTTTCGGCCGTTGTTTAATCTTTATGTAGGCCATATGGTGTTGCTCGTGTCTGCATTTCTTTTCCATATTACTTTGTTTCATTAAATAAAATTGGTCAAACTGATAAATGAGTAGTTCAAAAACTGAATTTTGGCAGTGGAAAATCACAGTTTCAAAAATAGTAGGATGTTATGATGATTTATTGGGATTATTAATGAAAAATGAGACTAGTGTGTATAAGTGTATGACCAACAGGGTTTTCGTTAATAGTACTTATTGATCACAACACTCATTTGAAGCTTTATCAAAAAGGAACGCAAAAGTGGTTGTATAAATATTTAATTTTGGTTGACTATGATAAATTGAAGGAATCAATCTTTAAGCATGTGGTTGCAAGTTCTATGGGAGGGTAAATATGGGACAAGTACAATCGCAGAGATAGAGGGGTTTTCAGTATTTATATATTGCAAGCTTGCCTATACATGAATCATTGACATTCTTTGTAGCAGTTTATCTTTGGCTTGCACTTTACTGAAATTTCAATATTCTTTGTGGTGTTTTTACAGATCTTGTTCAGAAACTACTAAACAACGGAAAGCAACTTCTAGCTGTCAAATTTATCTTTGAGTTTGAGTTGACTGACAAGTTCCCACCTATTCCCATCTTAAAAGACTATGTTAAGGAGTCCAAGAAGTCGGCCAAGAATGTTTGCAAGGAAGGAAAAAACTCTCTCAGGTCACTGGTATTTACATCCAATCCGACCTTATTTACTACTTGGTTAGTTGGTGTACATTCAGCTTTAAGAGAATCGAATTGTTTCAATACTTTATTTTGTGTAAATTTTCTTGAACAGAATGAGGCTACTGCTAAAGAAGTGGGTGCATTAAAATCTGTGATCAGATTTATTGAAGAGTACAAGCTTGATTCCGATTATCCACGAGAACACCTTGAAAAGCGTATTGAACAGCTGGAGAAGCAGAAGGCCAACAGGAAGCGCCCTGCTGGAGCTTCTCCTGTTGTGGCCAAACAGAAACAGCCACAACAACCACAACAGGTGAAACAACGGTTTAAAAAACAGAAACTGCAGCTCAGAAAACCGACGCCGCAGCAGGTTCCAATTAATCGCCCACACATGGCTGTTCCAGTTGGCTCTGCAGCAAATATTGTCGGTGTTGGGAATCCGCCTTATCCCCCATACCAACAAACACATCTACCTCCTGCAGGTTTGGTAGCTGATCTTGCTGCTCCTTATCAAAAATCTCTTCTACAATCATCAGGTTTGTTACCAAACCATCCTGTTTCATATGCACAATCTCATCTACAGCCAGCAGGTTTGTTGCCAGATCATCATCCTGCTCCTTTTGAGAGCTCATCAGCTATGGCCTATGGCATGGCAGTGGCAGGCTCCACTCCAGCTATTGCCTCTTATCATGGCTCATCAGCTGAGTATTATGGTTTGTCAGGAGGCCCCATGGGTTTTCCTGTAAATGCAACCACTGCTAATTCTCACATATACCCACCAGAACCATATGCACCACCTGGGTATGGTGTGGCTATGCCACCACTTTACCATCCATCTTACTATCCCCAGTAGTTGTTTTAACTGTCTTCTGATAGATCATACTATACATTTTGGATCAGCTGGCTATGGTGGGAATATAACTATAATGTGACCATGGCATCAACCATCTTCCTATCTTTTGTAGTAGTATCTGTGACTTCATCTTGGTTTCTTATAAGTATACTTTGGACATTAACTTTTTTCCTGACTTGGCACAAATTGCCACTACCATTAGAAGGCAAAATATAATTCATTTCGGTGATCTTTCATGTAGCCTGATTCTTACCTTTCCAAATTGTTAATTTTCTCTTCAAAACTTACGTTAGTAAAGGTGTGTTTGGAAGTGCGTTTAATGTAAGTATTTTTAGTAAAAATACTTTGATTAGAAGCATGTTAGTAAGATGTACTTGATGGCAAATCACTTTGATGTTTGATGTTTGATGTTTGATGTTACACTCATTTTTAAGTGTTTCTTTGACCATCACTTAGGTCTTAAGCACTCTATAAGTGTTTTTCATAAAACACTTCTTTTTTTCTAAATGCAGTTATAACTCATTTCAAACATGATCTATAACTTGAGTTATACACAAACACAACCCATTCAGAAAAAAGGTAAGGGAAAAGATTAATGCATCTTTTTTTTTTGTCAACCAACTCTATTTCTCACTTGATATTTTTTTTAGAGTTGAAATTGTGTTATCCATTAGGAAATTCCCCATTTGAATAGGAATAGTATAGAAACAGAATACATTGTTGGTAAGACTTGAGAGTAAAGTAAAGTAAGTCACAGCATCATTCTGCATCATCCATCTGATTTTCTCAACCTTGTGATCATATTTTTTTCTCTCACATCTCTAACTCTTAAGATATGCTCTCTCTCATACATATGAATTCTTATATTATGATTGCCTTGCATAGAAAGGTTTGCAGGGTTATATTATCTTGCTGATTTGATTTCAGGGCTTGTGTTCAGCTGATTTGATTTGTATAAGAACAGGGTATTTTTTTCTTATAAATTTGTGTAAAAGTTGAATGATATACTTGTTTGATGTTAATAAATATTACTACTTTTTACATCCTGCTGAGGCAATTATGTTCTTTCTTGGATCTGAATCTTGTGGATCGCATCTCTAATGCTCAAAGGTTTGTGCTTGGTTCTAGCATTCCTGTTCATGTTTGACAATCAATTCAACTGTCTTTTTTCTCAAAAAAAAAAAAAACAAAAAATGATGAATGGAGTTCACTCAGCTTGCATATATTAATACGTGAAAAAGTTATAGGTCGGTTGCACCTGGTGCAAATTCAATAAGTATCGTTGGTCGCGTCTATTTAGTGTCGATACTCTGAAATAGTTAACTATGCTATCTATGTTAGTTTAAAAACCTACTTGAAATTAATTGACCATGTTATCCTCAAGTAGTATGTAGTTGTATCAAATTGAAAGTTGAGCTAATTAGAAACTTTGAAATAGTATAAATCATCCACCAGACAATTTTGAAAGATTGAAAATCTAAAACTTGTTTTAAGTTCAAATATTAAATAGATTTGATTTAGAATTTAAGATTTTTTTTTCTACATGAACGAGAAAAAAAAATCCTTTTTTGTTGTAATTGGCAACTGGTTCAAATCCTTAATATATATATATATATATTTTAAGTTTTAATGTAGTCTTGTATTTGCAAGGCCCACGCAACCCGCAGGTGTCATTATCAATCATTTCGTACCACCAACTCCAAATCCTTTCAGAATGTCGTTTTTACTTCGCCACGTCGATCTTTTCCCGTTTCGTTTCGCGCCAACCGCAATTTCCCGAAAGGGACACGTCACCCTTCAAAACGGCGTCGTATCGTAACATGTTGTTCGGAAAAAGGTAATTAAATTAAATATCAGGAAATCGAGAGATGCTCTGTCTCTCTGTTTAGGGTTTTTCGGTATATTCTCTCTCTCTCTCTCTTATCCATTTTTCTATATCTATCTTTAGTAGCTTCAAAAATGGCTTCTCTGTTCCTCTCCTCTTTCTCTCCCACAATTTACTCCGATTTTCCCTCTTCTTCGGATTTCTACCTGTCGGCCCAGTTCCCGCTCAGTTCTTCGAGCTCAGTCTCTAAGTTTCGGAGGAGGAGCGTGCGTGGGTTCGTTGTTCGGTCGACCCACTCGAATGCGAGACTTCTCAAGCCCAAAAGGAGGTCGAGGTTTGGCCAGATTTTGTCACCTTTTGACTGCGATGGAGATGGGGAGGATGTGGATGTTGATGATTTTAGTAGCGACGGTGATGATGATGATGTGAGTTCTTGTACTCTGTTCTCGTTGAGGTGGTAATTCTGATTTTCGGTTTCTGGAAGTGTGATGTTTCAATGGTTGTGTGTTACTGTTTGTGGGTCTGATGGTTGGTTGAATGTGGGTTCGTTTTATAAATAACTGGGGTGATGTTATGATTTTGTTTGGTTTTCGCTAATTGGAAAAAATTTCCATGGGTTTCGAGTAGTTGGATTGATTTTTCTTATGATTAGGGTCTGGACTGGGCTGTTATTGATTAGTGAAAAGTACGCATGAAGTAGAAGGAGTAATTGAACTGCGCTTCTCGATTACGTAGATTGGAAGTTCCAATGATAACGTACTTCTGGCTGTGGGATAGTGTAATCAGCTCGATTTATTGTTCAGTTGTGGTTGGGTATTGAAAAGAAAGCACTTGAAAATTCGAGGAAATGATAGCTTTAATTTGGTTGGCTGTTGTTTCCATTTCTGTTGGCGTAATTTATGAAGTGGCTTTGTTTGCCTTTCGGTTTATAGGTCTTTTTTGCGTTTATCAGTTTCTCACTATTTGCTGTCTATTGTGGGATTCTTTCATTTATAGGGTGAGTTCTCGGATGTTGAATATGATGCTAAAAGAAAAAGAGCCAAGTTGCAGAGCAGAACCAGAAACAACGGCTCACAGCGAGGTTATCTTTTGTTTATATACTTTCTGCTTCTCGTAAAGGAGCTATTGGCTCAGGTAATCTTCTTGTGCAGATAACTTGAGACATCCCAGAGAAAGCAGGGGTATAAGATCATCCAACTCTGGGAAAAGCTTTAAAGTTAAAGCCGACCACCTTGACTTTCAAGATCTCGTTAATGATACCGATAAACAAGACTTCAGTATTGAGGAGGAAGTTCGTTCTACCAGCATAAATGGGAAAGGAAAGGTGGTTCCATAAGTTTGCAACTTTATTAACCATTTCAAATTCAAATTGGTAATAAATGTTAAATGTTCATGTGTTTCCATTGATTCAGTTGATGACCAAGAAATCTATGGAAACTAGATTCCCTCGTCTAGCAGAAGAAATAGAGTTGGATGACAAATGGTTCCCTCTACTTGATTATCTTACAACGTTTGGGCTCAAGGAATCTCATTTTCTCCAAATGTATGAGAGACACATGCCTTCCCTTCAAATAAATGTTTTATCTGCACAAGAAAGGCTAGAATACCTGTTAAGCGTCGGTGTCAAGCAGAGGGATGTTAGAAGAATGCTCTTGAGGCAGCCCCAAATTCTGGAGTACACAGTAGAGAACAATTTGAAATCCCATGTTGCTTTCTTACTGAGTTTGGGAATCCCAAATTCCAGAGTGGGGCAGATAATTGCTGCTGCTCCATCTCTCTTTTCTTATAGTGTTGAGAATTCATTAAAGCCCACAGTCCGATACTTGGTCGAGGAAGTAGGCATTAAGGAAAAGGATTTGGGTAAAGTTGTGCAACTGAGTCCTCAAATCCTGGTTCAGCGGATTGATGTATCATGGAACACCAGATATATGTTTCTTTCAAAGGAAATAGGAGCACCTCGTGATAGTGTTGTGAAAATGGTAACTAAACATCCTCAACTCCTCCATTATAGCATTGATGACGGGTTGCTACCCAGGATCAATTTCCTTAGAAGTATTGGAATGCGGAATTCAGAGATCTTAAAAGTCTTAACTAGTCTTACACAGGTATTTTGCATACGTTTTCTATTTTTTTCAACATATTTTGAGAAAATGTCCCTTTGTATGTTGCCTACCATATGCATAACTGTTTTTTCTGCTCCACCTGGTAATGGTTGTACTTGTGTTCTTCTTGACTTGAAAACTTTCTCTTGCTCCAAGAAGTGGTATTAAGTTGTTTTATTCTTCTCATTTATTTGTTGCTACACCTCGGTTGCAAGCTTAATTGAGATGGTACTAGTAATTTCTTCATAAGCTCTTGTCTTATGTTCCTTAAGCTGATCTGTCGATACTGCAGGTTCTTTCTCTATCTCTGGAGGATAATTTGAAGCCCAAATATAAGTATCTGATCAACGAACTCCGTAACGAAGTGCAATCACTGACCAAATATCCAATGTATCTAAGCTTGTCCTTGGATCAAAGAATTCGGCCTCGACACAGATTTCTGGTTTCTCTTAAGAAAGCACCCAAGGGGCCATTCCCTCTAAGTTCATTGGTTCCAACTGATGAATGCTTTTGTCAGCAATGGGCTGAAACCAGCTTAGATAAGTATCTGGAATTTCGGCAGAGATTGCTATTGAAGGAGTTCGCCCAGAAATACGAAAGGAGATGATAACGTTAATAGTCATCATATCATATAACTGAACTGACTTGCTCTCACCTCGGAGTTCTTCCAGCTACTCGCATGAAAGGAAGTGCTTAGATAGATGTCACGAGTTCTCGAATCCTTTATATCTATGCAAATCCCTTTTCAGCAAGTCATCACAGTATCGCTGACTTCGGGAACATTCTAGTTGTTGTGCGGGTCGTTGATGGGCATAAAGCTGCTAACAATTTGTTTTTTCATTGCCAAAATCGGTGCAGAAACTGGTCCAATTTAGAAGTGGCAGTGATGGCTACGACCCTTTGGTAAGGCTGGAGATGGGGCAGCTGAGCTTGGCACATGCATACATACCGTAAGGTCTCATTTGAAAGTACCTTGAGTAGGACTTCTTCAACCAAACTCCTTATAATTCTTTTCCAGGATCTGCTTGATATTTGTATGGGGTTATTGATGTATGATGAGTAGATTCTGATGATCTGATCTTTTTGTGCCTTGGAAATTCTGTAGACATTTTTTGTGGCAAATTTTGGTGGGATTTTAGATATTGTAATTGACATCAATTTTGGTCTTTAAGAAATTGTTGAATATATCCCTCTTTGATGGATTACTTTTCCAAATACTCTGTATGAATTCTGATTATTTCTCTTTATTTATGCCTAATATGACCATATTTGGTAAAAATAATTGTGTTGCCTACAAGATTGAAGGACGTTATAGTCTATTAGTATTGTTTAAACTTGTATTATTAAGGTAGGCTTTTTTAGCATGTTAGGATTTTTTTTTTCTTTTTTTAGTACAAGTGGAGATGAGAGATTTAAACTTACGAGTTCTAAGTTAGAGACATGTATCAATTACCACTAAGTCAAGTTCATATTGACTAGCATGTTACAAACTTATGGGACATAGAAATCATGTTAGAATGTTAGGAACTCATGGGTATTGGACAGTTATTAATGTAAAAAAGAAGGTTAGGAACTCATGGATATATGCGAAAGTTATTAATGTAAAAATAATAATTTTGTGCCTAATAAAACTTAAACTTTTAGTATTATAGATATGTGAATTTTAAAATTTAGGATTTTATTAGGTATTTTTTAAAGTTTCGAGACTAAATTTGTAATTTAACTTGTATCAAAATATTTGAAAAAAATCATAAGAAGAGTGTTGTATTTTAGTTATTGTAATTTTATCTTAAAGGTTCATTTTTTCAAAATATTTGTTAGCATCATATATTTATAACTTCTATTTATTTTAGTTCATGCATTTTTAAAACGTCAATATTTTGGTCAAGTGACTACTTTAATCATTGTTTGCAAAGTTTAGATACAAATTAATATATGTGGAAACTTTTTATAAAACAAATTTATGATTATATTTCAAAAAAATTATCAAAATAGTATTGTGTTGAAATTGTCATAGAAAAAAATAAGATCTAAAATAAGATCTAAAATAAAATGAATGGACAAAATGACAACTTTTTAAAAGTACATATAAACTAGTATTTAGACATAATATTTTTCATGTCTTTCCATTAAACGTGTTTTATTAGTGGTTTTAATTTTACATTATTAGTTTATTGATGTGTTAATAAAGTATTATTCATTTAAATGGTACATAGAATTAAAACTTGAATGAAAGTTAAAATTATCAAAATTAAGTTAAAAAATACTTTGGATCCCATTTGTAACTATTTATTCCCTTAATTCTAAATTGGCAATAATTTAACCTTTTAATTTTAATATGTAATAATTTAACTTAAAGTGTGTCAATTTAGTGAAATTTTTATTGTTAAGATTTGAAGATTTTTTTTTTCAATTTGTCTCTTATTTTTTTCTCTTACAAATTTATTTTCATCCAGCTTTTTTTCTCTATACTTAACTGAAATCTTTTATCTCTTAAACTTTCCTTACCTCAGCTCCTTACTTTTATTTCTAATTCTTTACGGTGCTCTCTAACTTATTTCTTCATTTTTTTAATCTCTCCATGCGGAGAAATTTGAAATTTTGACCGCTCCCATAATTCACTTTGGATTTATGACTCCATTTTGACAAAATCTAATCTATGACCCCATTCTTCCTTATTTATTAATAATTTCATAATTTTTAAATGTAAAATTACCGTAGTACCCTCATGTTTCAAAATCAACATCTCCCCCCACAAATCTCTTTACAAATTTTTATTCCCTCCACAAATTTCTCACAATAATTAATTCCAACCCTAAAAAATCTAACTTTTAAAAAAATATCTAACTCAAATAGTAAATTAAAAGTTTAATATGGAAAAAATAAAAAAAAGTACATAATTACATAATTTGGGCGAATTTAATTACAAAAAAAAGTCAAGATTACAAAAATTTGAGACAATATTGCATTAAATGCTCAAGATTTAATTGATAACAATAGGGCCAA